GCCTCCACGTGGTTCAAACTTTGTTGACCAAAAGCAACCTAGTTCCTGGCCTCTACAGCCGTATTACACCGGCAGTTGGATACTCTAGAAGTAGCATAATACCAATTAATGATTCAGTTATATATATGTACTTCAGCTGTATTAAGAAGCCTGGGAAAAGCATCACACAAGGTTCAGAAGGCGGTTCAGTTGTCAGTGATCTGACAGGGCCTACAACCGGATCCGGCAACACTGACTCAGGAAGCACCAAGTGGACACCACTGGAGAAGCAAACCGAGCAGAAGAATCCCCAGATCAACTCCATTTTTCAGCCCTACCTTGACAAGGTGAACAGCAAACAAGTCAAGACAGCTCTGGCAAGAACTGGTGGAGGACCCCAAGTTACCCGGAACGGAAGATCCATCAACATGTGTGTGTCCTACCATCTGAAAGGCAAGTGCTGGAGTGGATGCCAACGCAAGGACGACCATGGGCAGCATACACCTGACGAGGACAACCTGCTTCTAAATTGGTGCCAAGCGGCCTATCCAGCAGACAGCTGAAAGGCCGGCTGGTGGACACCCTTGATGGGGGTTCCACTTAAGCCAACTGCTTCGGCAGTGGCGACTAGTAAACAATCTGTTATTCATGACACTATGTCCCACTCCCAACCAACCATCACAACACCGATTGCATCTAACCGTCCACAAACCACACCCAACCCAACAATCGCACCTAGCAGCCCTACCACAACTGGTCCACAAGAACTGCGCATTGCTGGAGATGAATTAGGTAAGTTGATTCGTGCATCCGTGGAGGCATTCCAGCGTTGTGATTTCTGGGAGGAATTTGTGGTTACACAACGGGGTGTCGCATCAGACCTGTCAAACAATGTCCATCGTCTGGACCACCCGGCCAGTCAACTCCTCGCTCACCTACGTCAACATGGAGCTCCGGTGCCGATGTCAACAAAACCTTGGACACCTGAACAACTTGACAAAGCCATTTCCTGAGGCCCACACACATCGGCCAAGCTGAACAACGGCTTCATTCGAGAGGAGTTCATCGACTTCATCAGCAAAGGCTTTTGGACAGTCTTGCCATATTCCATTGTCAAGAATCTACCCAATCTACGCCTCAACCCCCTCGGGAGCGTTCCACAACACGACCGACGAGATCGGCTCATTGTTGACCTCTCATTCTACTTCACCAATCAAGAATGCCTACCAGTGGCTCCATCTGAATCCATGCAGTTTGGACGCACTTTGCAACGCATACTACAGAGAATCTTACTGTCAGACCCTAGCTTTGGACCAGTCTACCTGTCCAAGATCGATATTGCCAATGGCTTCTACTGGATCCAGCTGTCTGCTCGCCATATACCAAAATTAGCTGTTCTCCTACCGCAAGCACCAGGAGAGGAACCAATGGTCGCCTTCCCTATGGTGCTACCCATGGGATGGGTCAATAGCCCACCATATTTTTCGGCTGCAACCGAAACTGCAGCGGACCTAATGAATCGTCGGCTACAACGCAACCAGAAAGAACCACCACATCGATTGGAGAACATTGCCATTCATGCCAAACCCACGGTGGCTCATGTTCCAACAAGTGCGACACCCACTCCAGTCACCCTGGCAGTGCCGGCAACCACACCACATCATCCACACTACAAACGCCCCATGAAATATGCCGATATCTACGTGGACAACTTCATTGCTGCGGTCCAAGGAGATGAACCGACTCGTCGCAATGCAATGAGGACTTTGCTCCATGTGCTGGACTCCGTCTTTCGACCACTGTCACCATCTGACCATCCACACCAACAGGAACCAGCATCATTGAAGAAGCTTAAGAAAGGTGACGGAAACTGGAGTACCCTGAAGACAGTTCTAGGTTGGGTAATCGATACGGTCGCCCAAACAATCACACTAGTACCACAACGAAGACAAGAAGGACTGGATGCCATCCTTGCCGCCATATCCCTGACACAAAGGAGAATAAGCGTCGAGCTGTGGCACAAGTTCTTAGGCGAACTACGCTCCATGGTCATTGGCATACCCGGCGCGCGTGGCTTGTTCAGTACCCTTCAACATGCCTTCAAAACGGAATCAAAGAAGCGACTGAGGCTTACCAAGAACGAGCACCACTTCATCAATGACTTTCGCACCCTGGCGGCCACCTTGCCACACCGCCCAACCCGAATTACGGAACTGGTCCCACGAAAACCCTCAGTTGTTGGTACTACGGATGCGGCCGTCGCAGGAATGGGAGGCATTGCATTCATCAACACAACAGATGGCGTGGAAGCTATTGTATGGAGAGCGCCGTTTGACGCTGACATTCGAAAACGGCTGGTCTCCTTCCAAAATCCCACTGGCGATATTACGAATAGCGACCTAGAGTTGGCTGCAACAGTGACCCATCATGATGTCCTCACTACAAACTTTGATCTCCGCGAGCACACCATCCAATCCTCACACGACAACACCCCTGCAGAAGCCTGGCAGCACAAAGGTTCCACTACAACCTTAGGCCCGGCTGCCTCACTCCTACGAGTCCAATCACACCACCAACGTCACTTCCGTTATGTACCACTCCACAATTTTCTTCCCGGATTCCTCAATCGCATGAGTGATGATGCTTCCCGCCTGTGGCACCTCACAGATTCCGAACTCCTTGCTCACTTCAACTCTACTTATCCACAGATCAAGTCCTGGCAAATGCTCCATGTGCGGCCCGCGATGCTTTCTACCGTGATCTCCGGATTAGTCGACAAACCGTGCAACGTGGCGTCGTTAAAGGATTTCAACAACGCACCAACGCCCAATGGAATCTTTGGCTCGAATACTGCTCGGACCTTTGCATCGACCCATTGCTCCCATACAGTGATCCCGTTCCATTTCTCCAAAATTTTGCGACGCAATATCGACGACGTAAAGGCCCCTCCAGTGACCCCGTACGAGCTGGCACAGTGTCAGGCGCGATCCGTTCGGTGGGCCAGACGATGGCCAGCATGGGGTCCAAGGACTGCCGTAAAGACTCGACGGGCGCGCTAGACTTCCGATTGGCCCAATGTTTCGGGCTTACGGGCGACAGGATCCTCCACCAAATCGAGTTAAACCAATTCCGATCAGCCTCATCCGCCGGATCGCCAATCTCAGTGCCGACGGCAGCGCAAAGCACAAAGCGGTTGCCGATATGATCATTGTCGCTTTCTTTTTCCTTCTCCGACCCGGCGAATACACAGGTACAGAGAACGATGACACCCCATTCCGCTTCCAGGATATCCAGCTCTGCATTGGCCAAATTGTCATCCCCTTGCTCACCTCGACAGACGCACAACTCTGGGCCGCCACTAGCGTCTCTCTTACTTTCACCACACAAAAGAATGGCGTCCGGGGCGAGGTTGTCAATCATGGATTAAGCGGCCACAACCTCCTCTGCCCTGTCAGAGCAGTGGTCCGTCAAATTATTCATCTTCGCTCACACCAAGCAACACCAGGGACTATTCTTGCCACCTACTTTCACAACAATCGCACTTGCAAAGTACAAGCTAAGGATATCACAGCAGTTCTTCGCGAATCTGCTCGAGTACTCGGTCCTCAGTACAACTTCTCGGAACAAGACGTCAGTGCACGCTCCCTCCGCGCTGGCGGAGCCATGGCACTCTTCAATTCACATGTCGACAGCGACACCATTTGCCTCATTGGACGCTGGCAAAGCGACGCCATGCTCCGCTATCTCCACCTGCAAGCCCAACCAGTCATGCAAGGCTTTGCCAGTCGCATGCTGCGGGGTGGTGACTATGTCTTTGTTCCCAATGAAGTTGCTCTCGCCCCGATGCACTAAACTTTTCTTTCCTTCCCACCTCCTTCCCCGACTCCACCATGATGGGCTTGGCGGTGCTGGCGGTCGATTTCTCCACTCACGGAGCAATCGAGTCACGGGTCATGCGGGGTGTGCCATAGTAAACTGCCACTTAAGCACCACTTGTGACACCAGCCTGCATTAGTAGCCATGGAGGAAGACTGAGCTGACGCAGCCGTTGATAGACGTTGTAGTTGGCGAAGGTAACGGAAGGAACTGAGGCAGGCGTGGCAGTTGAACGCGCACGCGCGCAGTCCATTGGGTTCGCTGCAACACAACACAGCGAAACCATAACTTTCTTTGAACCTCTGTTGTGATACCTCCTGCACCAACGGATCACGTGATCAACACTTGGAGCTAGTCGAATAGTGTTTAAGGACCCACCCGCCCACCCACTGGTCGATTTCTCCACACACGGAGCAATCGAGTCACGGGTCATGCGGGGCGTGCCATAGTAAATTGCCACTTAAGCACCACTTGTGACACCAGCCTGCATTAGTAGCCATGGAGGAAGACTGAGCTGACGCAGCCGTTGATAGACGGTTTTCCACATGATGTCTTCCATAAGACGGTCACGAACGGTTCCAGGTCGTTAAAACGTCGGCCAAGTTTTCAGCGGAAATTATCCATTCAATTCGTAGGATATCAATTGCGCATCTGGACCAAACATAGTGATATGCGACGGCGTTCGATTTCTTCTTCAATTGAGATTCAGGGACACTTGAGTTCTTGACAACCGACATATTGTCAACACAAGTATGGCAATAACCTTGGATTGGGACGCCCATCATTCTGAGCTTGAATTGTAGTCCCTCAAGTAATTCAACACCTGTCTTTAGAGCAGCAAATTCAGAACCAAAACTGCTTGTCTCGACACTGTTTTGCTTTTTCGAATACCAGATAATAGGAGCTTTGTTAACAAAGATCAATACTCCTGTTCTTGATTGACGAGTAACAACGTTAGCAGCATGAGATGCATCAACAAACATAGTGAACTCTACAGCTTTGCCAAGAGGTGTAGGCATGTCACTTGGGAGTTCATCCTTAGTGAACTCATGGAACTGTGAGTAATCAGCTTTCTTTAATGGTCTAAGATGGTCAGCATAACCACAATCCATCACAAGTACACGATCAGGATGCTTCTGTAAGTAGGCAAAAATTGTTGGGATATGACGAAATATGAGTTTTTACGTTCCAAAAGAAACTATTCAAGTACAAGGTTTTCGACACGTGCGATCGGACTTTGATCGTGCGTGATGTCGGGATTTGACGCAAGTATGCCGGACGCAAGTCTGTCGGACAATGTGTATCCACACAAACAGGAAAAGATCCTGTACAAGTGGAATATTGATGTTGTGTACAATGCAGTAGGGGGAAATGCAAGATGTCCCAAAGTACTGCATTCAACACAGAATTGTCGTAGAAGTCGAATCGAGTTCTGTAAACAAGGGATTTTCCAAGGGAAAATCGCGGAACTCACTTTTGTGATTGAATCATCAATCCAAGCCAAACATTAATCAAATAGGAACAATTTCACTCAAAGTATACCTAGACACAGGAGACCTATTGTCGTGAAAGTGTTGTACAATCGATTACAAATTTAGATTGCAGAGAGTTTGTTCTGAGCGCTAAAGGCACTCACGATAGAGCACAGTTTGCTTTATTGTAACATTCAATCTCAACAGGTAACAAAACAAATTTACGTCAAGAACAGCACTGCCTTATCTACAAAGGAGTGAGTGATTCGTTAACTATGGGACGTTCTTCTTCCAGTGGAGGAAAGGGACGTGTGACTCCTCAGAAAGTCAAGAGCAATACAAGTTCTACAGTTGTGAAACATCTATTTTCAACAAAAGATGAAAACAATGGAAAGGCAAGATTGTCGTACGAAGATGCCGAAGAAAGAGTGATTGACTACATCCAAGCTTCTGGAATGAAATGTTCCGAAGACATGGTGAAATCAATTTGAGATGGAAAGTCAATCGACTTCAATGCAATCGCTCCAAGATTGAACGCTCCAACTCAAACTGAAGCTGTTGCAAGAGAAACAGAGATGACTCAAAACAAGATTTTCTATTCTGCAAAGCTCGACGAGAACATGCCAAGAACAGCCTACTTTGAAACGAACAAGCGAACTGTCAAATCAAACATCATGCTGAAGTTTGTGACGAAGGCGATGGATATCAAGCTTCGAGGTGAAGCCGATTTTATATATATATATAACTGAATCATTAATTGGTATTATGCTACTTCTAGAGTATCCAACTGCCGGTGTAATACGGCTGTAGAGACCAGGAACTAGGTTGCTTTTGGTCAACAAAGTTTGAACAACGTGGAGGCGTTCAATAGAGGAACGTTGCTCGCAAGTCGAAAGTGTCAAGGGACGATCGGCTCTCCCACGCGAGGTGGGTTGGAGAATATGTATGTGTTAGACTGGGGTACGTGTGGCTTGTGATGTACCGGTACCAGAATCA